TAAAAGCCTGTAGCACCGGAGCGATTGCATAGCACTTAAAGCATTTGTTTGGCCAAATGTTTTTTTAACAGGAAATAATTTATTACAGGGTACTGTATCGGATGATATTTGCTCGTTGTTGAAGCCATGCGCGAATGGTTTGTGCTCAAATACATTCAACGATTTCGAATGCCACTGCGAATATTCCTGGGCGGGAAAACGCTGCAATGAGAGGGATCACTGCGCACTCAATTCATGCGGCACAAATGTCACCTGCACTAACCACGATGGCGGATATGTGTGTAGGTGTTTTTATTTATTAACCGCTTGAAAAAGTATATGTTTTAAACAAGGAAAAAGTCACTCAGTGGTTTTCAAGGGCTAGGTTACAGCCAGCATTCTGTTTTGCTCCATACTAAATATCCATGCTCTTGCTAAAAAAGATGCCGTAAAAGTTCCAACACTTTGTAGGCAGTTCACCAGCGACATTCATTCCGTCGTCATTTGCTAAATACAATTTACTGGATGGAATTTCAACGGATCGCAGTATTCCCAACTCTTTACAAATCAGTTTCCTGCTGCGCACACGTTCCGGATCCGGTCAGATTATCTATTTGGTGAGGATTTCCTAAAAATTATTTTTCAGAAATATAAGAAAATTGTTTAGACAGCTAAATTGTCTTCGTGTTTTGCAGCTGTAATGGCTCACCAAGCAGTTCCCTTTTGCCTTTCACTACAAGTAGGGTGGACACATTTTTAGAGAATAACCCTAAAATAATTGATATTTTGTTAATAGTGATGAAAGGGAAGTGTTTGGACAAGCACTTTATTGCTGTCGTTGCCTTCAACTCTTGTGAACAAAGAGGCATGAAGAAAGGTGTTGAAGTATGCACTTCGTCTAGATGAATACTGCAGTATAGCGGCAGAGATCTGAAATTTCAAGATGTTGCTAAAAATTCCAGCTTCGGCGTGATAAAAAAAACACACCATTCAAGCTGCTTCAAATCTTGATGAGAGCAAATGAACAGATACATGGATGCGTAGCGAATAAACCTACCAATAAAAAAAAATTTTAGAATCTGCATAAAAGCGCAGTTATATGCAAATTATAATTGAACTTTTGCTGCAGAAAGCTCCAAATGCGTTTCTTTCGCTTTCGCTGAGAAATGGCTTGCTGATTTACGAAGCGCTGGTTGATGGCGATGTGAAAAAGCGAAGCTCAGATTCCATGATGAACGATGGTGTCATGCATAATATTGTTGCGAGCTCGAGTGGTTTGTACATCGATGACAAGCTCAGTGGCACTAAATCGCTGCCGTTCCCGAAAAACCTTTTCGAAAGCACTCAGAATTTATC